TCTATAAAAACCAGAGGTATTCCATTAATGAGCTCAGATTATTGGCTTTTACCAAGATCCTCTTAGTTAAATAGATTGTGAAATTGAGAAATATATATTTTATTTTGTGTGAAAGCTGCCCTTTAAATACAGCAATCCCTGCCACGAGACCTCGAGGTGGTCAGGGTAAATATTTGCTGAAAGGCATCAGTCAGGGGTCATTATTAGCAATAGTAAGACACAAGTATGCACTCATACATGAACAGATGCACTGTGGGCCCTAATGTATTCCCCTAAAGGCCCTTTAAGAAACTGCTGCTGAAAGGTGCCACAGGGTAAGAGCGGGAGAGGCCACAGTTAGTTCTCTGTTGGCTGTGTTATTTATCAGATTAACACGTACTTGAGTTCAAGTCAACAAGCACGTATCTCATAGTGGCCATGTGGAATTGGGCTGGGTGTGTGGAATGTGCTACGTGACCTATAAATGTATTTACATGAATTCAGAATTTTGGTGCCTTCAAAAGCAAGGAATTAGTCAAATATTTAGGCTGCAAAAATATCATTATAAAGATGCTCATTCAAATTTTATAAATGGGGCCTTAATCCAATAGATATAGTTCAGAGTCAGAGTGACTTCTTTTGCATTGCTTTACATCCCACTGTTTCTGAATTTAGAGAGACAGACGAGACAACACCGAGCTTTGCAGTCCTGCTGTGATTCAGTTTGGACGCCTTCTCATGCTGACTTTTTTTCTCCTTATCTCCCTTATACAGCAAGACAGCAATGACAGACTTACAAATGTCTGTTTCACTTGCTGTCCTATTTAATGTGACTCAGCCCTCGGCTGACAGGTTGTCAACATCCACCTCACTGTAGCAGCTTTCACACAGATAAAGCCACATAGTGCTATTTAAATATATTTTGATTCCTGTCTAATTATCTGCATCAGTGCCACCTTCGATTAAATATGAATCTTTTAATCTAACATAAGGTAATGGATAGTAGATGCTAAATCATGATACCATTATGCACAGCATTAGCTTGCTGCCAAAGAAGCGTGTACATTGGCATTTCTTATCCTCTTTTCTCCTCGGATGAACACACACTTTATTGACTGGTTGCTAAACCCCCAAATTCCCAGAAAAAATACCAAGGGCATCACCTCCTTAATTGTAGCTGTGGCCCTGCTCAGGAAGTGTTAGGCAATTTTAGGCATAATTATGTTTGATAATGTCACTGGAAATTGGCTAATGGTGTTTATATCAAAAGCATCTCGTCAGATTAACCATAACAGAAACATTAAGGAAAGAAGTAATAAAACCTATGAGAGAATCTTCTTTGTAAATTCATCACACTTACTCTCTAGTATCTTTCTTCCTATTAAACCCACTCCCACAGTCTTCTCACATCCCTGCTAGTGCCCAGTTCTGTTTATTCAGTTTGTTTGCTCTCCATTACTAGGAAATTTAGGGAGCACTTATCCTTTGACCTCCCAAGTCTTTGATAATGGTGCTCTCACTCAATAGTCTCTCTGTCCCCAATGCCTTTACCCTCAAGCGCTCCCTCTGAGGGCAGACAGCACTGACCTCCTGTCCTGGATGTGTCTATGCACTGTGAAAGAGAATAAGAAAAACTGTGCATCCTCTCCATGTGTTTTGAGATGAGAGGAGGGGGATTATTTTTCCAGGTGTCTCCTCTGACTCTGGGAATGTGTTTTTTCCCTCAGTGGGAAAAATTGATCCCTTGTCTAGGCTGGGTGGGGTCACTCTGTCCAACCCAGCTGTCTCATGCTTCAGGCATGGTGGTTAGAGATCATCAAATAATTTCCATTCATTGTCTGAAAACACATATCTAAACTATGCACATATGTCCTGCTCAAGTAATGCTAAGAAATAACAACTGTGGAAAGTACATTATGTCTAAAACTTTATCTACACCTCTCCCCAGCCCATTTCTTTTTCCCATTTGAATACTGATCCATTATTTTCCCCGCTGGTTTAGGGTTTCCAAAGGGTGGTGCAGCTCCTTCATTTGGCAAAGTTGCCAATCCTGCTCCCAAAGGTCCAGACCGCCCAACTCCACAGCCACATCCACAGGACCTCAACTCTCTGGTGCAGCGGGCTGAGCACATCCCAGCCGGAACGCGCACCCCGATGTGCAGCAAGTGCAACAATATCATCAGGTAAATAACATCAGAAACACTGCATTTACAGTTAGAATTTTAGAATAATAATTTAAAAAATGTCAGTGATAACAGAATTTAGTAAAAATTCTGCACAATTTTTACTGTGCAGAATTCTTGGTTATGTGTTAAAAGCCTTAGTAGGTGGACGGTTTTAATACTTTTTAATCAATTTCCTTCGTCCATTGCTTCTTCTCACCAGGGGCCCATTCCTTGTGGCCATGGGCATGTCATGGCACCCCGAGGAATTCAACTGTGCTCACTGCCACTCCTCCCTGGCAGTCCATGGATTTGTGGAGGAGAGAGGCCAGGTGTACTGTGAATGCTGCTATGAGCAGTTCTTTGCTCCCACCTGTGCCCGCTGCCACCAGAAGATTCTGGGGGTGAGTTACAGAACTGAAGGGATATTGTTCTCGGCCTTAGTCTGAAAACTCTCTCTTTACTAATACAGTGGTTGTTATTATAAACTGAATGATAATGCTTGAATTAAACCATTAAAACTATATATTATATAATATATATATATATATATAAATAGAAATAAATATAAAATAATCTTCAAAATAAACTTGTGAGTCTTTGTTTAATTTCCAAAAACTGTCCTTAAATTGTTTGATGGATCATTTGAGGACTATACAATAATATTAGCTTCAACAAGCTGTTCCTCATTTATTTCTTCTATTTTATTTTCTCTGTAGGAGGTCATGAATGCCCTGAAACAGACCTGGCATGTGTCCTGTTTCATCTGTGTTGCCTGCCAACAGCCAATCAGAGGCAACATGTTTCACATGGAGGATGGACAGCCATACTGTGAACGAGGTACAGTGAGAAGCCCACAACAATAAATTAAATGTTGTAAAGAAAACCAATGCGTGCAGACCAAATAACAATTTGTCAATGTACTGTTCACTCAGACTACTACAACCTGTTTGGGACTAACTGCCACGGCTGTGACTTTCCCATTGAGGCAGGGGATAAGTTCCTGGAGGCTCTAGGTTTCACCTGGCATGACACCTGCTTTGTGTGTGCGGTAGGTCCAGGACAGTGTCACTCTCACAACGTTTAGATCTAAAAATAAAAAAACTGTTGAGAATGTTGTGAGTAACAACACCACTCTGTATATCTTTGGCTCTTTTCACAGGTCTGCTCTGCTAATCTGCAAGGTCAGCCGTTTTTCTCCAAAAAAGACAAGGCTCTGTGCAAGAAACATGCCCACACTGTCAACATCTGACCTGCCCCCATGAATATGAATGGGATAGGGCAACGGTGTCAGTTCACAGCAATTTATGTTTCGGTCAGATGCTAAATACTTTAAGAATTAAAAGTTGTTTGATTTATCTGTTTCTGTTAGAATAACATTCGGTCAGAGGTTCCACTGTAAGCTTTAGTTTTGCTCTAATATTGTTATATTTTATGTAATATCAGTTCTATAGATCATAATATGCAGGAGTACATTTCAATACACTGTTTGCCCCCCTGCCTGTTTAACATCTGTGCAAGTGGATATTTAACACACACGTGTTTGTGCAGAGCTTTTTTATTTGTGCTGTGTGTTGAGCTCTTGATGGGGCGTTTTTTTCCCTTCACACAGAAGAGTATAGTATACTGCAATGACCTACTGAGCCCCTCAGGGGTCACATACAGTATTAGGAAAAAATATTGATGTGGAAAGATATGCTATTAGTTAAGTGAAAGGTTTAGTAATTATAATTATTTAACCTTAAGGGGAAAAAATATTTATTTGTAAGCAAGGATTGCTCAGTCAACATGCATTCTGGCAACAAAAAGACATGGGCATCTGGCCATCAGAATAAAAATAGGAAATTTTAATTATGTTATTATTTTTTATTGTTTCAAAGCGATGTGGTATGCAGCCATTCCCAGTAATTGAAACCACAGAAAAGTAATGTGTACAGCAGTGTTTAAATAAGTTTCATTGTTAATACATAAAAACTATATACGAGGATTACGTTCAGTCTGGTCATTACTGAGATAACTACATATAGATCAAGTGGTTATGTTGTGTTTGTGTATATTTTGTAATATCTATAGTTCAGGTGCAAAATGGCTCATTGTTATGTTTCCAGTGAATACCTACATGAAACTGTGCTTCATTCATCACAAAACAATGTTAATATATAGCTATATTTCGGTTTCCATTTGTCTTGCATAAATTGTTTTAATAGAAAAAACCCCACAAAACTCTATCTACTTGTGCAATGGATTTCTCACTGAATATGCACCTCTCTCCTTACTTTCATTTCAAATAAAAGGGTTCAACAGTGAACACCATAATCAACGCTCTTGAGTATGTCATACAGCCTTTTCACATTATCTTATACTGTTCTTTGTGGCTAACATTGGACACTGAAAACATTAAATTCTTCATCCTGCAAATGCCTTGCTTATGTTTTATGCATGTCTACTTTTTATGTGTTTGTCAATGCATAGAAAGCATAGCAGCAAAGCACTAATGCATTGTGTGTTATAAATCTGTAGTTGTGACAATAATTATTCAGAGAAGTTTAACAGACAGGCAGACAGGCACCAGCATGAGCTGCCATCTACACTTGTACCTGTAGTGAGAGACAGAAGTACACATCACCATAGGGACAGGAGGAACAATACCCACCGGGCACACACACAGACACACACACAATTGGTGCATTCTTTCTTATATGATAACAATACTGGTTATAAACAGTCATTATTTAATTTGAGTGGCAGACAGCCGGAGACAGACACTCTTATGTTGAGTGTTTAGTTATGATGCAGTGTTATTGGAGTAATACAGAGTACCGTTGATGTGCACTTCTTCAAGACGTCGGAGGTGGGAGCTGTGCGCAGGACGACGCCAGATTTAACCAGCCTCAAATAACGCGTGGTACACTTGGAAAACTCCGCCACAACACCGAGGCACACAACCGAATAAAAGAGAGCCTAGAAGAGTTCATATCAAGACAAAGTGGGATCTTGTGGAGCTGCTCGTACAGCGGGGGAGAGACGGTAAGGATACTTTGTGCGCAGTAGTCTGGTCTGCGTCGGAGCGCAGTTTGAGCTGCAGCGATAGTCTTTCTGATTGTCAAGATTTCCTCACTGAAACCAGAAGGCTCTCTTGATGTGTTTACCGTGCTGCTGTTCATTGAAATTCAAACAAGGGGCTTGTTTTGCTGCCTGCGCTGAGTTTGATGCTGGTAGCGGCTGCTGGCGATCAGCGGGAGTCCCGGCAGTGTTATTGGTGGAGTCTGTGGTGGTGGTGGTGGTGATGATGATGCTTATCAGTGCCATGATCCGTGGTTTCTAAAGTGCGTTAGGATGAAATGCGGTTGAGCTGATAGATAAATAATTCACATTTACTACGAGTGGATGAATTAAAGTGATGAAGGTCTGTCCAGGTAAAATCTGAATATGTTGCTGAGTTCTGTCTTGTCTTGTTATGACTGTATAACATAGTCATAATGCAGTAGTGGAGGAGGTAAAAATACTATATTACAAGTAAAATTCATGCATAAAAGTATGTAAGTATAATAAAATGTACTCCATGCAGAGAATTGTCCCTGTGACTGTTATATACTATTATATATTATATCATTAGATTATTATTACTGATGAAAAAAAAAGTACAGCCCTTGAGTAAATGTTCGTTCCACCACTAAACATTTATAATATGGTTGATGAAACAATCTCACCTGGAGCTTTCTTCATCATCATCATTATCATCATCATCTTCATCAGTTTCAATTTGTCCACTCTTCATGGAATTTCTCAAATTAAAGGACTTCTCGTCCATGTCTACTTAAAAGTCAAGTTGTCAATTCCATGACTAAGATGACTCCATACGTTCGAAAGCTACTAAATGGACCTTGAAGTGAATAATCACATGTACCATTTTCACACCCAATGTGTGTGTTAACGTCTGACAGCGAACTAAAGACTCCATTGCCTGTCGATGTATAGTGGCATGGTGTCAATGGCAATATTTGACTGTTGAACGCATGAAACAAAACATCTCTGCTCTGCAGTTGATCACTGAGCACCAATCAGCATCTCAGAGCCCGGAGGGAGCCATGCACAACCTGCTGCATCCTATGCAGGTCTGTGGTCATGTCTTTGAATGCGCCAACAACCCTCAAATTCTCTACAGGACAGAGAAGCTATTTGAATTAGAGCTGAGTACGTGTTTTTGTGTAATATCAAANNACCACCCAACTACCACCCAGTCGTTGCCCTGGCTCTGCCCCTGGCAAGAGTAATGCCTGCCATTAAACTCGATCGGGATGGCATGTCAGGTGAGGGTGCATGGCGAGGCAGTGCTTTGTGGTCTACCACAGACTCAGGCTTTAAGTGTTTCAACTTGTTGGACTCCCTGGCACTGATGGCTAACAGAGAGTATGTGTGTGAGTGTGAAACACACAAACGTACGCCTTGTTAGCCCCAGTTTTAGTACAGCATGAAGGCAGGCCTTTCTGTTAAAAATACCTGTGTGATGGTGTCCTCACAGAGCTCTGTATGTAGTGTAATACTGGCACACAATCTAGAAAAAATAAAAATCTGCACAGCACTTAAAGTGTCAACCTATTTCTGTGTGCGGGCTTGTGGACCTGTTAATGGAATTCTGACCATGGCTGATTGAAATGGCCACAAATGGAAAAGTGAAGGATAATGAGACATCACACATTTGGAAATATGGCTGCAGGAAAATGATTAAACTCTCACTGCCTAACTGAGAAAAACATGGAAAAATGAAAACTTAATGAAAAATATAAATAAAATAGAGCTATATTTGTATATATTATTAATTTAATTATAGGATTTCGAAGTACATACCCTTCTGTGTAAACAAAAAATCAGAAGAAACAAGGTATTTCGCAATAGTTAGTTATAGTATAGTTAATAGTTTTTGATTGTTTAAGTTAATATAGTGACTTCATTTGTTTTACCTGAAGCAGCTTTAAGTATGTTGAAATAAAGACATCTTTTCCAGGAGAATACCAGCTCCTCTTAGAAACTGTTGCCCATGTGAGTATACCTGCAGCCTCAAACATGAACTAGCACCTGCACACACACACACACACACACACACACACACACACACACTCAGTCATTCACTCTCTGATGCAAATAAACCCACAAACAAACACTCATGATCTAGGTAGATACTGGCCTCAGTCTGGGTTTGTCCACAGGGCTAAACTTAGCAAGCTGCGACCCCTCACCCCAGTTTCCTCCCTTATAATTACAGGAAATGAGTCCAGCCAATCAGGGCACAGATACGTGGTGCATATTAACAAGCTCAATAGGAGCAGTATTTGAGGACTAGACAGGTAATGGACCAAGTATGTGGGAGATGGGGAGGGGGTTGCCAGAAAGATGTCAGATATGGAGGAGTGCTCAGGTTTGTGGAGGCTGCAGGAGATTTCTGTTCGAAAGCGGAAGAAAAGTAACACTAAATCTTTGAGTTTATCAGCTCACACTCCAGCTTTAAGCAGTCTGTCATGTAATACGAGCACAGTGACTGTAAGATGGAGCAAATGGTGGAGCTACACTATATCAAGAGACAAACTGTCAGAGATTCAGTCCCAGACAGACTTTATTCAATGTCTTTTCCAGCTGCCAGCACATTATATTTTTTCATTATTTCCTTTATTTTTCCACACACTCACACACACACACACACACACTGATAAAAGAGCACCTCATATCAAGCCTTTCCACAGGTATGGCTTTTCCATCTGTCGTTCGTTCACTGATTTCTGCCACTGGCCGCATACACTAACCCTCTGTACTGCATCTCCCATGCACACCCATACATACCAAAGGAAAGAGACAGTCACACGGCCCTATTTTCTGTTACTTGTAACAACAACACTGTCAACACAGATGTTGCCTGTGATGCAGGCCTGTGCTTGCATTCGTTCCAGACAGCCTCTCTCTGGAGGATAAATAGATAGATAGACGATCACTTTGTGGCTCATACCCCAAAAGTTCTTGAATTCAGTTTGAATTTCAATGTTGTGATGATCACTGGGAGTATTACACTGTACCTCCTCTGGGTCCCATTAGTTAGGAAGTACGGGTGTGACGCAGCTGATCTTGTTCCACTTAAGAATAATCTTCTTCTTACCTATAGGCTCTTTGACAATTAATACAGCGATCAGGGGAAGTACAGATGCCCCCCTCACTCTTTCATCTGCAGTCGCTGATGAGAGACAAACGCAGGCAACAGGAATTACTTAAAGCTGCAAGCTGCTCTGCTCTTTGCCTGGAAGGTCAGCAACCATGTGAGAGAAAGCCGACTTCCTGTTATTAGAGAGAGGGGCAGAAGAAAAAAAAGGGAGAAAGAGGTACAGGATGAGTGGGGGATGATTGAAGATCGAAGAACAGAAGAGGATAAGGGGTACTTTGCATGATTGGGTGAATGTCAAAGTGGGGAAATGACCTGAGCTTGAAATTTAGTCTCAGTCCTTTCAGTTCTGGATGGTAGACATATGAGCCCCTTCTAATAACTCTATTGTTTTTCTTCCAGAGAAAGACAAGTGCTGGAGCTCAGGCTGGGTAAAGTGACAGGATGCTTTCTGATGTCCTATGTTTGGATGGTGAGTCGAGCTGTCAGATTCTCTATATCTGTTCGACCGAAAATCTGTTGTTTTTCAACTTTATACCAATTCTTATAAATTTAATGACATAGTAAATGTTGCAACTTCTTTACTGTAAAACTGAGACATATTGATAAATGTTCAGTGTAAACTCTCAAATGTAATTTTCGAGTGGTTTCACTTGATGCTCCAAACCAATAATATTGTGAAGAAAGTGAAATCCAAAGCTGAAAGCTGTATTGATCAAGATAGACTGAGTGTTGATTCTCCTGCAGTAGAGGTAGTATTTGGCAGGGCTGATCCTGTGTGTGTGTGTTTGTTTGTGTGTTTTGAGATTGTAATGCCGTCTCGGCAGCAATTTGCCTCCAAAGTGGCAACCTAATTGACTTTCTGCTGAGCATGTGGATGGCTATGTAAAATAAACCACACCGACTATAATAGAATCCTGTTTTCTCCACTAAAGTATCAGGCTAGACGCAGGCTCCGACTGGAGTGCCGGAAATGAATGAGATCAACATATGATAGAGTGTAGTAAATTTTAGAAACTCTTAGAAGCTTTAATTTCAACTGAGTAATTTACCATAGCCATAGCAGCATGTATCATGTGTATGAAAGATTAATTATTTTTATCTGTCCAGCAAATGATTTTAATTTATCACAATTTTGACTGATTTGTGTAACAGACTTGGACAATTTTTTTGGTAGGAATATAATGTCTGCTTTTTACGGTTGTCAGATAAAAATATAAACACATTTTGAAATATTAGCACATGCATTAAGTGGATTGCAGTACAAAGAATCATTGTTCGTCTCCGACAAGTTCACAGACACATGTATATTTTTGCCCCTTGATTTCAGCAGCGAGCAGGCGTGCTGCATCGTTTAATTAGCATTCCTTTTACATTAAGCAATGAACTTGCCACTACAGGACCTATCATAAACAGCAAAATATGCTGACACAGCTCCAACATAGAGGCTTGGTGTACAGTCGGGAGCCGAACCCATGCAGGGCTGTGAAATAGAGAGTTACTGTACCTAGAGAGGACAATAGTAGCCTGTATATGTTGGAGATGCTTTGCTCGGACTCCTTCTGTGACAGCGACCTGCTGGCAGGAAAGTAAAGAGGGCTGAAGCCAAGCATCGGTTTGAGTTGGAGAGTAACTCACACCCGTAAAGAATGTCAAGAATCCGTGTGTTAAAGTTCACACTGTATCACCATCTGCGACTGGATCCCGGCAAATAAAAGACAGCTGTGTGTGAGTCAGTGTATGTGCGTGCATGCGTGTGAGCATGTGTGTCTTTTGGTGTGAAAAAGTTAAGATAGAGAGAAAACGGCCATTGATTTAATTTTTATGCATAGAGTATGTTTATAGAAGTATGTTCATATTGCTAATAATACAGTGTACACAGTCTCTCAGTTTCACACACACACACACACACACACACACACACAAGCGCCTGACAAGCAGGTAGCAGGCAGAATGTCAGCTCATAATTAGGCTCTAACTTGGTGGTTTATGAAGAAAAGGCAGGTCAGCGCGACCACCCAGAATCAAAGTTTAAGTCACCTGTTTCAGCTGAAAGGGAAAGTCCGAGATTCAACACTCTCTGCTGTGTTGGTTCAGCACCATACCCAGCTGTGACTCAGTGTGTTATTCTGCTGATATAATCTTGGCTCACTGGTTACTGGAGTACGTTTCATGACACTCGCTTTCTATTCTGAGATTTTAAAGTTCTTATATCTGTATGAAGGAGGGGTACTGTGTTTCACCACACTCACAACATATCAACATGATCTCCTTTGACAGTTTGATCTTTCAACAGACTAATCTGAGTGAAGCTTTGTTCTGAATTCTTGCACGTCTGTTACTACTGTAGACCTTATTTTGCACCGTATCTGATTCTGCAAGTGAACCTCACGCTTGTCCGCTAAATAGCAAGTGACAGCGAGTGCTACTCAGACTGCGAGAGGAGATGGAGAAACAGATGAAATCAATTTCTGTCTTGTTCATGTTTTTTCCCTGTTGCCCGGCCCTGTGTTTCTGATGACAGATTGTGAAATGGGTTTCATATGTGGCTTTTTTTCTCCCTCCCCATAGATTGGGGAGAGGGCAGAGGGCATTTGGAGTCATACCTGTGAGGCCGTCTGCGGGGAAATGTGCTGACATCAGAGCTTTGCATTTTAAAGAGGAGGGTGAGGAGGATGCTGCAGTGACGCTACAGAAGAAGCTGGGTTTTCAAAGATCATATCGGGTAAGTACGCCCTCTGAGTGACATCTCTTATCAACACTAATCTGTAAATTAAAGACTAAATTAAATTAAATTAAAGTCACATCCTGGAACAAGCAGGGGCAGAATGGAGTGTGTGGAGTATTAAAAACTGTGTTACACTAGACCTGATGACAAAAAATAACAACAACAGCTTAAGTAAGATATTGTGTATACTTTGCTTTTGAGAAATCAGATGTCTAAGTGAGTGTATTTTCAGCTTCTATTGTAAGGTTTGGCTCCCAATGGCACACTGCTTTATCTGGAAACAAGCTCTCTCACACACACAATACTACATCACATTGCAATCCCTGTCAGGTTTTGGCACTGGTTGCAGGATTAGGGAGACAGCCAAAACAGGTGACAGGTGACAAACTCATGTCAACACTTCATGAAAAGGACTTTAACATGGGATCAACTAAATCACTATTGCAAACAAAAGGTGAGTCATGTTACTGTAGGCTGCAGTAGTTGTCAACCCCTATTTGCTTGTCTGTCATATCCCTGGTGGGTAATTTCAACTTGTGACAGCTGCTGTTCTTCGTTTAAGCAGTTTGTGTTTTGGCATGACTTGTGATTTTCCAGACTTTCCCCAGTGACATTTTGAATGTATTTATTTTTTGTATATTTTTGACCAGCTCTCCTGCAGTTTGGGCAGAGATAATTTGTCCTCTTTGGAGCTCTATTAGTTGTCTCGTGTTACTTTGAAAATATCAAGAGCAAATATGGTTAAACCTCTTTTATAGCTATAAATACTGCTACAGTAACTGGCATTCAGCCTTTAATTAAGCACTTTGTTTGTGGTACAGAGGCCTGATGTGAAAGAAAAGTTACAGACTTCCTTGAATAAATTAGTTAATGTTGTGTTCTGGCCTCAATTGACCATGTGAGAAAACAACACTTTTAACAGCTTGATTGGCTGCGTTTGGAGGCTCGGTCAGGATTGTAGCACTAAATTATTTCATATATGACCTTGCATGCATTTGCTTTATCATTATAGTAAAAACATTACTGACTTCATCACACTGATTTCAGCCACAGCACCCAGCCCTGTTGGTAACTCAAAGCAAATAGGTGCAGGTTACAGGTCAAGCGGCTGCCTTTAAAGACTTGATGCAGACATGTGGAGCATTTTTCTGCTTTTCAAATCAACTTTAAGGGGGGAAAAACGAGTTAGCCTCACCAATCACTCATTTGTCCTTCATCTTTAGTTACGGTTGTATCCAGTCTGAAAAGAGATTGGCCTCTCTTCTTGTCTGTCCAAGTCTGGCCCCTTTGGTGGCTCTGAGAGCTTTACGTCGAGGAGGAGGCTGGATCCGATTACAATAAAAAGAAAGAGAGAGAGTAGCAGCTAACTAACCTGCTACAGCCTGGATTGTTATTGCAGGTGTTCAGGAGCACACACAGCTGTTAATTACCACTACATAGCTCTTCGCGTGGAGCTGCAGTCACACATGAGTGACCATGTACAAGTGCATGTTGGCATGCCAGAAAACACAGATTAGGATTTAAGGATCAGATAGTTCCAGGGTATGAAATGCTTTCTTGGGTTATAGAATCCTCTGGTTGAATCTCGTATTTGCTTTGGCCTTTTTGCTACATGTATGTTTGAGGAAGGTTTAGTCTTAGTGTCATTTCCGCAGCCAAACGCAGTTAACCACGTCTGTCCACAGAGCATTGAAAATGCATAATCTGGTAAATAAGCTTCAGCTGTGCTGTTTGAATGATAGCGTGTGCACACATGAGAGTTAGACCAGTCGATGAAAATCCTGTTAAATTAATGAATTGTCTTGTGTATCATTTGTAGCTGCAAATGGTGGTCAGCTGTGTACAATTTGGCAGCCAAGTTGATTCTCAGCTCCTGCCAAGAAGTTCTAAATCCTAATACAATAATTACAGCTTATTTACTCATTTTATTTATACTAATTAATTATACTCTATTTAACTCACTTTATTTATTAGGCTTTTTTCCCAACAATATTTACAATGTGTTCATTAATGCAGCTGCTTGTTTAAAACCCAAATTAGATTGCAGGTAGATGGACAGGTTGAATTCTGTCCATCATTTAATCAGCATTAGACTAGCATCAGACTATGAGAGACAAAGACTGGAGAGTCGACCTGTCTGACTGAGAGCTGCTCCAGCTCCTTCCCCTGCTTGTCAACACATCTCAATCACATCATCATGAAACAGCATGAGGGAGGGTAATAACTACTTGCTGTCATTCATTTCAAATAGAGGAAAAAAAGGCTAAATGAGTATCTGTTAAATCGAGTGTCTAGACTGTAAGTAATGTAAGTGAGAAACTATGGTTTGTTTTTTAACAGACCTTTATCACAAGCACATCTCTGTTTTAAAGTTTGTGCTCACTCCCTAAAATTTACAAGGTGTGTGTGTGTGTGTGTGTGTGTGTGTGTTCATGATAATGCTCACATTTGTGTTAGTGAACAGCTGCTCCTCCTTGCCTCCACCTGTGTAATGTGGCTATGAACAACACAACAGTAGCTCTCTTGTACTTTTCATGAAGATCGAGTTTAATTAATGAATGAGGGTTTGAGCACACGGCTCTCCCTAGCAAGAAATAGGAAGATAAGCAACTTGTGTCTCAAGTGCCAACATCTTGTGGCTTTATTGGTTTCCTGATTCAAGTTTAAGCTTAAAATGCTTGATTTAAACCCACACTCAGTTTTTTTTCTACAATTAAGAACTGTTTTCTCTTTCTGGACATAAAGTGGTCAAGATGGTGGGTGTTCCCCACCTTTTAAAACCTGTGTTTATTTTACTTTTTGAAAGTGCTGCAAATTAAGCAGTAAGTAACCTTGGGTGGACTGTTCCATGGAGAGGGAAGGGGAGAAGAAGGGAGCTGAGAGAAAAACCTCAAATGTGAAAATTGCTGGAACTCCGAGGGTTTTCAAAACAAAACTCAAGATTTCATTACACATACCTGGACAACTGAGGGCATGGAAAAACCCCTCCTTGTGTGTGCAAATGTGCAAACAGACACACTCACACACACACACACATACAGTACATGCACTCAACAGCTGGATTGGTCAGAGAAATAATAAGAATAATGTTAACTAAATAGAGCAGGGACGACTCCCAGTCAACAGAGCCAACACGTGTCAGCTTCAGAAATATGCAGAACCCCGGTCATCAATCACAGACAGGAGGCCCTCAGTCTCGCTGACAGGCTCGGATAGAGAAGAGGCAGAGTTTTTTGGCCACTCTTTGTGTGTGGACGGGCTGGTGGCGGCTGTGTTCCCAGACCTGCCTACAGCTTCTTGAATCAGGTTTGGCTGGGACTCATCCAAGGTGTTCAAGACTGACTGACGACGAGGCACGATCACATCAAACCAACATCAACAACAGAGTAAAGCTAATGGTCCATACTTGTCAACAAGGCCTGTTGGCAGCGTTTATATGTCCTCTTCAGTGTTGTTTTATTAGGTTTTAGTGTCGGTGTAAGCTGCGGATCAGGAATGTGGGAATATTCTCATAGTGGCTTGACAGTCTACTGGTAACAGTATAACTACAGGCACTAAATTGGCCTAAACCAAGCAAAACAGTGTAAAGGGAGACAGACAGTCCTGAGGGGCCAAGCTGGAGTTTAGTCCCTAAAATTGAACCTTCACCAGGGTTCAGAAGGACAAGGAGGGATGTAGGGATGTAGGGATAGATGGTGGGGGGTTGGGGGATCCCCCGGCAAAGACAAAACCCTGAGGGTTTCTACTCTGAGATCTAACTTTGTCTGTGTAAACATGTCTGGAATGACACACACAATGTGTGTGTGTGCGTGTGCGTCAAGTGTACTACAGCCTACTAAGTGTATGTATCTGGGAAAGGGAGGAGGAAGGAACCATAGACAAGAATGTTTTGAGGAGAACTCAGAGGGTTATGAGACTTTTTTTGTGAAAAACTGAATATTTTCAGCCTCCTTTGATACTTCATTAATACAAACAAGTTTATATTAATCAGAGTAAGATATTTGCAAGAGTTGCTTATACGACCATTTGATTGATAATCTTGTTTCCATGGATCAATGGCTGGGGTAGATGAGAAGATTTATACCACTCTTATGTCTGTTGGCTAAGAATGAAGCTAGAGCCAGGAAATGATTAGCTTAGCTTAGCACAAAAATTTGAATCAGGGGAAAACAGCCAACCTGGCTCGGCCCAAAGTTAAAGAATTTGCCTACACCTCCAAAACGTGTATGCTAAGCTAATTGTCTCCTGGCTCCAGCTTCTTATTTAAAGTACAGAGATGAAAGTTGTATTGATCTTCTCATCCAACTCGACAAGAAAGCGAATATGTGTATTATCCAACTACTAGTTCTTAAATCAAGTTATGATTTAATTTATTAGTGTGCATGAAAATGCAACCACCAGCTGTCTTTAAAATCATAAATTAGACTTTTGGGAAGGCTTTAAAGATGGATCTATTGTTACAGTTGATATGTTAGTACAGAAATCCAAGCAGGCTGTATTTCTCTTGTCCACAGACACAAGTTAATACTGTGGACACAGTACAAACGGAGTTCATCATCATCCTGATGTTCTCAACCCCCCATGAGTTGAATGGATGTCACACTGCATCCAATTGTTTCTTCACCCACTGTCTGTCTATATTAGACACAGGGTGACCGGACAGCTGTCTCTGTGCCTCGTCTTGGTCATTGTGTACATGCACAAGGATGCATGTGTGCTATTGCAATAGATCTGGCGTGGCAAATTAATGTTATGTGGCTTGTTTGACTGAGTATGCTGTCTCCCTGCTCTAGTCTCTGATCCTGTCATTGGACCCAAAAGGGGAATCATCACCCAGGAATTTGGCAGGCTTTGATCACAGGGCTGTCCAGTGAGGGTGCAGGGTCAATGCGCTGTGTGAAGAGGAAAACATGACACACTCATCTTAGAACCGAAGAATGGGTTATGTGTGACACAAATGTGCAACATTTATCATCTAGACAGTGGAGTGTGAATGA